TTTTTTGGGTACAAAGAAGGAGGCAATGCCTAAGAATCTAAGTAGCCACCCACCGAGGATGGGCCACAACCAAACTCCCGCCCCGGGCGGGGGGCAATCTAAACGTTGATAACCACCTGGACCTCTGGCTGCCGTGGAGGCCAGATAATCCGTCATATAGATCGTCTCTCGGTACCCATGGGAAACGGTCACATCCCACGACCGTCCCATTAGATCCCGAATCCCAGCCACCAGGCCTCTCTGCGGCCCATCATAACCCGCATCATGCACCATTTCAATCACACTCTTGTTATCCACCTCCATAAGAACCCTTCTGCCTCCCACCTCCCAGACCAAATTCAAACCATGGAGCATACCCCAAAGCTCGGCCCCAACAACCGAGCAGGGACCAATATTACATAAGAACCCACTAACCCGCCTTCCATGGTGGTCACGAATCACCCCACCAGCACTAGCCATGCCCTCGAAGGCACAAAATTGCCATCCGTGTTAACCTTGAGCATGCCCTCATCCGGACAGGACCATGAAATCCCTTGCTCGACCCGCCCGCCCGACACTCCGATCTTGCGGCCACTTAGCAAAGCCCCGCGAACATTATTAGCGAAGGAACAAATATCCCCCACCCTCTGATCCAAAGTAGTTCGAGTACCTTCAAAGATACGTAAATTCCGCCAACGCCACATCCTCCAAGCGGTAATCCCAAACATCAGGTCCCAGTTATCCACCACCGAGTTGAGACTTCCCGTCGAGAATTTTAACCTTTGGATATACATGTGACTAGTATATAATAGATGATGTAACAGTTAAAACACCCGACAGGGCCATTACAAAATCATCCTGTCGGGAATTTTAACCGTTGAATATACATGTAGTTAGTATATGATAGATGATGTAACAGTTAAAATAACCGACAAAATAGTTACGGGACCAGAAAGAATATATAGACTTAGACTTAGCTTATGTTTAACTTTTTTTTTTTTTTTTTTAAAAAAAAAAAACCTACATTTGTCACTAGTGCAGTGAGCATTCGCATTTGGCGCATGCCACTACTCGCAGGCTACCTCGGCTTTTGAAAAATGCCCGTCAACTCCGCCGCGTAAGCCTCACCTTTCCGCCCTTGACATGGAAGTACCTACCAATTGATTATCCGCGTGAATAAAATACAATAAAAAAGATACCTTTTTTTTTTTTTTTTTTTTCCCTTTCTTTCAAATTGAGTATTAGAAATAATGAGAACATTTATTTTTAATATTTATTATGATATTTAAAAAATTTCATTTAATATATTTACAAATATAGAAAATACGTTTAGAATTTTATCAGATAAATATTTAAGCTATTTATGATTATAAAATCAATATTCAAATATAAATATACATGTTGAAACATATTTATCATATAAAGAATGATGTATTTATGGAGTCATTGAAAAAAAATTGAGTGTAATAATTTTTATAATTTGTGTAATCAGTAAAAATGGATTTCAACACGTACTCAAATTTCGTCATTTTGACATGATCGTGTGTATTCACATTTCAGTTCAATTTATAAAAACATAATTAATCGATTATAATAGTTGATGTACATGATCGTGTGTATTTTTCTTGTTCAAATACAATAACTAACAATTGATTTACAATTTATAATAGAATCTACATCAATGCAATTATGTATAATCGTCAAAATGTGTATCAGATACCTATATATATTAATGTTTATTTAATGGGTTGCAGTTATTAGTATGATGATATATTATAGTAAGTGTATATTTCCACGTACTCAAATATGATTGATTCTTAAAAAAAAATTTTAATTGACAATTATTAATTAAATATTTTATATTGTATTTTAAAAATTTTTAAAAATACGTATGGTAAGTGTTAAATTAAGTGTATTAAGTATGGTAAGTGTATTTCCTAGATTTATTTGAATTTTGATTTCATATTTTTGATTGTATTCCTAAAAAAATACGGATAAAACAGATATGCTAATAAATAGAAATTTTGTTAATTTATTATTTTTAGGCAATAATTAATGAAATTGGGTGGAAAGTATTTCTAAAAGTGAATTAAGTTAATCCTTATTATATATTAATAGATACGCTAGTTTACCAAAAAAAAAAAAAAAAAA